AATATTGTGTACAAATGTTGAAAACTAAAGAGACGTAAAGAGGCATAAAAATATAAAAATTAAAAAGAGAAATCTTAAATATAAAACAATTTATAATTACATTTTATAATTAATCGCACACAAAGAGAACGATTTTGCTGGCAACTAGAATCTTACATAATAATAATTATAAGCATCAAAATTATTATATCAATTTAAGATGCTTAAATTGATATAATAATACTGCAAAAATTTTTGATTTTCTAGTAAGCAATTTGAACATCGTACATAATAATTTTGAAATCTAACAAAATTTATTTTCAGATCTGTATTCTAAATCATCATTTTTCAATCATATTTGTAAGTTTTATGCATTTGAGTTTTCGAAATTACCATAACTTTATTATTCGCAAACTTTTAAAAGAACTACGTATACGCGAAGAAAAATAATCGTAAATGAAAGTTTGATATTCATCTTCCAGATTTTTTGTTTGCATCTGAATTATCTCTTTCCTCTCTCGAGTTCTTTCGGGAAGAAAGTCGGTATCACGTAAATATCATTGCGTTTTCTTATATTCTAAGATTCTTTCATTGGATTTCGGCCCAACTACAAGCAATCATGCTCGCAGCGTCGCAATATTTTTCAGTACCGCACGTTTTTATCGCCCGACTGCGAGCGCAATGAAATATCGACGACGTAACGTAAGCATGCACATAAGTTACTGCGTGTGCTCTGGCGGTAATCGCGAGCCCCGCGGTCGTACGAAGAATTATTTGACAAGTAAATTGTCGCTGAGAGATGCACGTGTCACGGTCGAGAGTCTCGGCTATTTCCAGAATCGACTCATCCGCAGTTCAGAAAAAAAAAAAAAATGACAATTCACACATCTAGGTCTAGGTAGGTAGTTCCTCATTATGTTGCGTCCTTCGTCCTTCAGATTAAAAGTGAAAATAATCAAAATCGCGATCGCAGGTAAATATATTTCATATGGACTGCGTCAACGCAATTGCGTTTCACATTGTGTAATAAAAGCAGTTATGCAAACCGATCGATAATAAGTCTGCCGGCGCTGTGACACGCTCATGTTGAATCGATGGACGATTGAACGCAATTCTATAGGATGGGAGTGCCGGTTCGAAACTCTTGCAACGGAAAAGGCGCATCCTGTACCTTGTCAACTGACAGTTGACAATATATTGGGTGTCCGAATCGAGTACAAAGATCTCTTCTCGCACGTATATTTTTCTCCGATAATGTGTTTCTTTAACGAAGATAATTCTAGAAGGCATTAGGAAAAAGATTGAGTTTAGATTGTGATATGCTTGTGAAAAATAATAAAAGATCATTAAATTTGAAAATTGTTATACATATTAATTAATAAAATTAATTAATTAAAAAATATTTATAAAATTATATTAATATTATATCTCTTCATATCCATTGTGTTTTCTTCCTTCGTATATAAAAGTGTATTAGTTTGTTCTTTCTCGGTTTTATGCAGAAGAATTATGCATCCTATCTCAAGTAAATCCTAATAAAAACTGAAAAGATTTAATCACATTCTTTGTTCCGTTTGAATAATAATTGTCTTTTTCTCAGGATTGTCTATCTGTACCTGAATAATTAAAAAGAGAAACAATTAAAGAGGAGGAAAGTTTTCTTCTTGGTATATATGTTCTCGGTACTTTCGTGCTGTGATAAGAATATTTTCTAATAAAAGTTAGAAATACCAGCATATCAACAATAATTAATGATAATTATTTTGTGATAATTTGATTTAATTGTAATAAGCATTATTTTTTTAAATATTGCTTATTAAATACTTAAATTGAGTTCTATTGTTAGCAATTAACAATATTAAAATTATATCTGTATAAATGTCGTATAAAATATTAAAATTTTTAACTCGTAGATAGAAATTATTAATAAATATATTGAAAATAGAAAAAGAATCTTTAAAAAACGTAAACTTAAGATTTATATATAATTCAAAGAGCAAAAATATTTAAGGATACATTGCACCTATCTTTATTTAAGAAAATTATGAAAAACATAGAAATATAAAAAACTTATTCTAAATCGCATTTTGCAAATTGCATAAAAGCAATACAAAAAATTTGGCAGTGGAATTTGGATCAAAAATTATTTAAATACAAAATAAAAACGCTTTAATAGACATGTAATTAAGAAATAATAAAAAAATTTTAGATTTTATTATTGTCTTTTAATTACACTTCTATTAAAGCTCTATTCTTGTTTATTCAAGTATTTATTATCAATTTTTTATTCAGATTCTGACGCTAAATGTTTTTGTATTATTCTTAAATCATCATTTAGTATACTCTCTAAGTTTTCTATAATAATATATTTTTTGTAAATATAAAAATTACAAAAATAATAAATCCTTAAGTGTATGTATCACATTATAAAATGTCACGATAAAAAGAAGTTTGTTAATTTTTATGTTTCAAGTAACTTCCATATCGCGTCGTATTTGATCGATGTCGTAACAAGACGTACATAATATTGATAATATATTTGGCGTCGCGTACAAGGAACGGCCGCGTGCACGTTCCACATGACATAGCAAATAGGTCACAGCGATTCCATCACGGGCATAGATAAAAATTTTATCCACCCACGGGATAGATCCAGTCTATCAGTGCCTAAGCGAGCCCTTCAAATAGCAAGCGCATGTACCATTTTCCCGTGTAACCAAATCCCGATGGTATCGCATTTACTCGCTCATTAAATTGATTACGAGTAGCACAGGGATGGTATCATTACGTTACTCGACAATCGGCTGATACCTGATAATCGTACAATGATACTCTTGTACTAACGCAACGACGATGAAACTTGTAAAACATGTATGGAGGAAGGGAAGTTTGTCATTAAGACGATAAACCATGTCTTCAGGCAAGTTTAAGCAAAAACCGTAAAATTGGAAATGATGTTTCTCGATAATTTATAAAAAACCTGTTTTATATATTATATATATATATATATATATTTCTAACCTGATTAAAGTAGCTACAGTTTTCGTTTTTTTTCCTCTCAACAATTATAGACAAAAATATCTTCAAGTTTCTAAGTTTAAATTTCTGATTGACGTTTACGTAACCACACGTCCGAAGTATGTCAAATTACGTTGGAGCAAGGGCCGAAGGGCTCCGATCTTGTTTTCAGATTAGACGACTAATGTGGAACGATGACGTCATAGATGCAATGTGTATTTGTCGGTTCCACGCGACGTGTCAACGAGGTCACGGCAGTTCGATTATCGTCGAGATGGAGGCGAGATCAATCCCTCCATAGGGTAGGTCGGCACCATGGGGCGCATTGGACGAAGGAAAGAATCTCTCCGGGAGAGAAGCGGAGATGGTAACAATAAAAGGAATTTTATACGGGTTATTGTGCCTCGTTGATAAATTTAAATATACTAGGTACAGAGCACTAGCTTATAACTCTCAAGCCGATATTTATAATCCGTTCTTATTTCAAGATCATCTTAAATAATCTGTCTTAAGATGCTAATACTGTATGATTAGTTTATGACATCTTAAATCTGTTTTCAAGATAATCTTAAATATAAGAATGGACTGTGAATATCAATTTTTACAGGGAATGTATAAGGTTCATCTCTCTTTCTCAGACTTTTTAATATTTTTTTTTTAATAAACTATCATTTTGTAATAATAATAATTTAAATATTTAATCAATACACTTTTAATTATAAGCAAAATGAAATGAAAAAACATGATTTTTTTCAATTGTACTGCATATAAATCTTCTAAAGATTGCGATATTTTTAAAATCTATGATATATTTTGAATATTTCTGCCATGTAGAAAACTGATAAAGCTAAAAAGTTATAAAAATGTAGTTAAATATTAAGCACATTTATAATGTATGATTTATAAAATCATGCTGGACATTTTTCATGTGTTCTTTCTATAAAAAAAATGTTAAAAATTTTAAAGTTGGATTCATATTTTTTTAGAACGATTTGAAACAAAAACATATAAATATAAATATTAATAAAAATTTATATAAAAAAATATGTATGCAAAAGATTAAAAGTAAAGCTTGTAATATCTAATTTATGCAAAAAATATTCTTAATAATAAACTCAGTAGTTGCGAATATTATAATCTTATTTAGAACTTTTGTAAAATTAAAATGAAATTGTTCAGAAGAAAAATCTTCATGTAATATAATTATTTACTTACTCGTCTTGTAAAATTATAAGGGGGAAATTTAACCATTTGACTTCTAAGAGGTTTATACATTTGTAATTTTGTCGTAATAATTTGTAATTCCATTTATCCTCTGTAATGATGTCTCCGCTCGTCTCTGTGGAAATTTGTTGAATGCATGTACCTTTGGGATCGCGTATATTCGTCGTGTAGAGCGATCGAAGATATTGCTGTCTCGTTGCATTCTCGAGGGTTATATTTTCTAATATCACTGCGCCCTTCGGCAGCCTGCGAGGTATTGTGAACCTCAGAATGGATCAATCAGTGAACATGGCCCTCGCTAATAGACCGATTGAAGCCAACCAGTTTTGATCCAGACGTCTGAAGATCCTTTCAAACTGTAAATATTTTATCATGCCTGAAATATATCTGAATTTGACATCTTATTTGATATCTGTAAAAAGATTTATTCGAAAGATTTATTTGACAATTAGTTATATTTATATATTTTTACATTTCTCATTAACAAAATCGCGACAGCTATCGAAATATTTTACAATAGAAATCAATTTTCTTTTATTTTATAATATTGGAGATAAATATTGTGAAAAAAAATTGTTAAAATTGCAATTAATGACGACGCAAAATTAAAACATTGTAATTTTTGTAAATGGAAATATATAATCATATGACACATAATATATTTTACACAGTTTTGCAATATAAAATTTCAGATTTATTATTTGAAATAAAGTTTGATTTCTTGCTGTCAGATTGCACCACGCGGCGATGCATTGTCAATTTTCGGTAATTTTCGGTAATCTTCGTGCACGCTTATCATTGGTTGTTACTGACATAACCTCAGACTCTACATTTTGCTGAAACGCTTACATGAAAATATGTTCGGCAAGTTGATCTCGGGTGTATTTCAATTCTTGCCGTAAGTGTTAAGGCTTATTTTTATTCCACTTATTTATTTTTATATATAAGTAATAATTTTCTGCAGTTATTTCCTATAAACAATATGTGAGTAGAGAAGCTGAAGATCATAGTGGTGTAAGTCAATATAACCTGATTGTGAAAAATTGAAAAACAAATTCAGAAAATTCAGAAAATAGAAGATTAGATTCATTTTATTGTAATATTAAATAAAAGAAATTTAAAGAAGAAAAAAATCCGAATAATTCATTTTTCATAATTTCTGATTCTACTTTGAGTTTCAGCTCCCTAATGTTGTGTTTCGTATTATTAATTCTTGAGACATTCAAGCATATTTTAATCGACATTTGTCCATGTCGAGTGTTATTTTATAAGAAATAAATTTAATTTCTAATAAAAAATGTTTATTCGCTTATCTGGAGAGAGGGGAATATTTTGATATACTTTTATTAAACTAACATAACTATAATTTTACTAAACTAACATAATTATAGTTTATACATAAAATTAATTTTGGTTAACAATTACTTTGGGAAAAGCGAAAAATTCAATATCAGTTAGTGAAAAGTTAAAAAAAATTAGGATATTTTGTTAAAAAATTTATTAAAAAATCAGATTTAATCTTCTTTAATATAAATTTGCTTGTGTTATTAATATAAAACAGTTAATGAAGTTACAAAGTAATAAAATATAAATATATCATGTACTAACATATTTTATTAACATAATTGTAGACGAGCGGGAACGTCGAATCATCTTTCATCAACGGTAAATGCAACTTCTGCATTATGGAGCCCATGGAGTTTAACATTTGTCAGAAATAGGATGAGGTATCATTTTCCTCATCCTAGTGAAAGTAAACGCATTAAAAAACATGGTTGGTGGGCGAGATTATCAACACCGAATGGTAGAAAAATTCTCCAGAGAAGAATCTTAAAGGGCAAACATGTATTGTCTCATTAATTATTACTTTATTACTTACTGGATTGATCAAATATATGAAAATGTATACTAATAAATGTTATTTATCAATTTAATTAATTCTTTTTATTACAATACTTTTTATAAAACAAATGTATATAAGTCAATTATCATCTATTACATAATAAGCTAATTCTTTTCATTCTCTTGATCAATATTCCTTGCTTCAACTGGTATTTTGAACATAAGTTGCTTGCAGGTCCAATCGAAAGGATCTATCAAAGGTGCCTGTATGACTAAATCTCTCTTCTCTTTACCAAAAATCAAGTGTACACTTCTTAAATGTATATGAGTTGGAATAATTTCTTGTTGATTTGGTGTAATGTTTAATAGATCCAACAACTGTCGATTTATCTTTGGCAACTCCCAACAAGACTCAGCAAACGGATTAACTTTCATCCATGTACCCATGATTTCTTGGACTCGCGACCCGTGAATATTGTCTCCAAGAATTGGGCTATATAACATAGTGGAGGCAAACAACTTAATAGCATTCCACTTTCTCGAGGATGATTCGATTTCTAGTAGAGAACTCAAATTATGCATCGAATTGGATAAGACTTTATGACTTATATTCAAAATCTGGATTTGATCTTTCTTCGCCATATTGTTACTCCATTGAGACAAGATAATAGGCTGAAATACACATGATTATTATCTAGTGAATATTAATTGCTTTTTGTACATAAATATATACTATATCAATATACTTTTTTATCGCCTAATACAGAACTTTTTAACATCATTGCTAAATGATAGTTTCCTTTGATCTCATTTGGAACTCTGATTGTGACTGTCCAGTATTTTTTGTATTTGCCATTAGTTCGCCTTTTTGCAAGTTCTATCTGATTGCACACATTATCATTAATTCCAAAGATATAAACACCACTCATATATCTGCAAAAGGATAATTTGTAAAATAGATTACAAATATGTTTCAAAAAAAAGGAAAATCAAAGGATAAATCTAATATACTTTTCTGATCCCAAACATGGTATTAAGATTGGTACATTTAATTCCTTTGCAAGATATGGCAAAACATCCTTAATAGTATAATCTACTGCTCCTACAATCTTATAAGTTGAATATATGTCTTTGTTTGATTTAGTAGTCTTGTTAATGAGAGGTATGCCATATGGTTTGTTTATCGCAATTATTCCATCTATAAGAAGATACTTGCAAATTCACACTGAAATGTATTATTCTTACTAAAGTATGAAAATGTATTTTATTATTAATAAATGTGACATGAAGTTTTACATATATAAAATTTCATTATAATTCACTTTTTTGAAATTTTCTTGTAAATAATAAATTCTTATATATATATATATATATATATATATATATATATATATATATAT